TCTCGCCTCCCGGACTGGCCGGCGTCGCGATCGCGGTCTCCGCCGCCGCCGGTCCGCTGGTCCTTGCCCTCGCCCAGCTTGGCGTCGAGCAGCCGCTCGTTCTGCTCGAGCATCGTGTTGGCGCGCTCCGCCAGCGTCTGCGACAGCTGCTGCACCTTGGTCAGCTCGAGGCGGTGGAAGACAATGACGCCCGCCGTCGGGTCGAGCGACGCCGCCAGCTCCTCGTTGTAAATCATCTTGCTGACCATCGACCGCACCACCTTGGCCTCGACGTCGAACGTGGCGGCGAGGTGGGCAAACGAGACGGTGTCGTAGTACGACGAGTAGCTGAAGAGGTAGGTGCGCAGGCCCTCTTCCTGGATGCGCTTCGCCAGCATGTCCTTGACCTCTTCGGCGCCCGGCATCAGCTTCCAGATCTTGATGTCGCGGATCAGGTCGATGCAGCCCTTGCAGTCGCCGTTCTGCAGCGCCTTGCTCGCCTGCATGATGTGGTCGCGCGTGTTTTCCGGCGGTCCCGAAAACACCTGGCGGTCGGTGTAGTCGAGCATGCGGCGGAAGGGCCGCGAGATGATGCGCTTGCGCAGCTCCGGGTCGTTGCCGGCGAACGCCATGTTGGGCACCTCGAGGAGCATGCTCGACACGAGGTAGATGCACTCAAGCAGCTCGAGGTTGATGTGCATGTGGAAGGGCAGCTGGCGCTGGCGGTCGAGCTTCTCCTGCTCGGGCGTCAGGGTGCTGTACTGGTTCTGCTTCTGGACGCCCTGGGCCAGCAGCTCCTTGACGCGGCCGGTGCCAAAGATGTCCTGCAGCGCCGTCTGCGACTCGCGGATGAGGCCGACGCGGAAGGCGCAGATGCCGATCTGGACGACGACGCGGTTGTAGAGGATCTGGGTGGCGGCGTCGGCCATCTGGACCGAGTCCTGGAGGTGGCTCATGAGGAACATGTCGCGCGCCACGTGGTACTCGGCGTGGAGCGCGTGGTGGTAGATGTGGCACAGCATCGCCCGCGTCCTGGCCCGCTCGCTCGACGGGCCGGCGGCCTTGTAGAGGTAGGTGCAGAGCGAGCGGATGAGGAGCGTGGGGCCGTCGGCCTCCTGGACGCGCGCCGGGGCGGGGAAGATGGCGCTCTTGATGGGCACCGTCGTCTTGGCCAGGTTTGACTCGAGGGCGCGGATGATGACGTCCTGCTTGGCGTAGACGTGCTCGAGGCGGCGCATCGTGCAGCGGCTCAGCGCGTCGTCCTGGCCGGTGCTCTCAAAGTAGGCCTGGCCGATGACGATGGTCTCGTAGAGGTTCTTTTCCTCGCTGAGGCGGTCGACGTACTCGGTCGTGTGCGGGTCGATGTTCTGCAGGCTCTTTGTGAACTCGTCGTCGAGGCGGTCGATGAAGCTGATGATGCTGCCGCGGACGGCCACCACGTCGCCCTCGCCGTTGACGCCGGGCTGGCGCTCGGTCTCGTCGTCGTAGTCGGGCGTCTCCTCGCGGATGACGTAGGCGTGGTTCGAGACGAGGGTGCTCAGCAGCTCGTTGACCTCCTTGCGCGCGTTGCCCCACATCTCGATCGGCATGTAGGCGTTGGCCGACGCGTTGTAGTCGAAGCGGGCGGCGACGAGCGCCAGCAGCACGCGGATCTTCTTGTAGGGGGTGTCGGCGACGCCGCTGAGGTCCGAGAGCTTGCGGATCTGCTCGGTCTTGTCGGTGCTCTTTTTGCCGCGCGCCTCGAGGATGGCGGCGAGGCTCTTGAAGAGGCCCTCGGAGGTGAAGGTCTCGGTGCGGCCGCCGCGGCCGACGGTCTGGAAGTCGTCGTCCTCTTCGGCGGCGGCGGCGGCGGCCTCGGCGCGCTGCTTCTTGGGCTTGACGATGGCCTCGGCGGCGGCGGTGGCGCCCGCGGCGGCGTTGGCGGCCTCGGCCTCGAAGGCGTCGGGGTCGGAGCGGTACTTTGCGACGGCCTCGTCGTTTTCCTTGATCGTCTTCTTGATCTTCTGCTTCATGCCGTTCATGGCCTTGGCGTTGGGCGCCTTCATCTTCTTTTTGGCGTCCTTCTCCTTGGCGATCGACTCGTTGAGGAAGGCCTCGAGCTGCGAGATGGTCTTGACGTAAAAGGCGGGGACGGGCTCGTTGATGTTGCGCTGCCTCTCGACGAGGCGGTTGAGGCCGTCAAACTCCTTGGAGATGGTGACCCAGTCGTCGATCCTCTGGGCGTTGTCGATGGTCTTGACGACGGCCTCCATCTCGTCGAGCCGCTTGTCCTTAGCCGACTTGATGACCTTCTTGACCTCCTCCTCGCTGTCGCTGTCGTCGCTGGCGGCGCCCTTCATGAAGCGCGACATGGGCTTGGCGGCGCCCTTCTTGTCGTCATCGTCGCTCTCGTCGTCCGAGTCCTTGAGCGACTCTTCGTCCGAGTCCGAGTCGTCGTCATCCGAGTCGCTGTCCGAGCCGGCAGCCTTGAGGAAGCGCGAGCGCGGGGCAGACGAGGTGGTCGTCGTCTTGGGCTGCTGCTGCTCGTCTCCGGACTCGAGCTCAGAGAGCTCCTCCTCGGAAGACGAAGAGTCCGAGTCCGAGTTGGCGCTGGCGAAGAACTTGCTCATGGTGACGGCGTGCAGGGGTCGGGTAGGGTGCGGTCGGTGCTGCAGCGAGCCGGCAGTCAAGAGGGCGGAGGGCGGTGCTGGTGGTGCTAGGTTGGCCGGTCGGCTGGGTTGCGGCTGGCGTGCGGGTCGCGGGGACAAACAGTCGAGCTCGAGGGGGGTCGTCGAGGGCAAGACTTGTTCTATGGACCGGGTGAGGTAGCCAAGCGGGCAGGGGGTAGGATTGGGGTGATGGTGTGACAGGTGACGGGTGACGGGTGTCGGCTGGCAGGCAGGCAGGTCTCGTCTGCTGATGGCGAGCAGCTGGCCAGCTTTGCTTCCTGCGTGTGCGTCGTTTTGCGCGCTGCGGGCAGACGGGCGGGCGGGCGTGGTTCCAGGCCTGGCAAAGGCGGCGTGCGCTTCTCTGTCCGTCCCTCGCCAGCCCTTCCAGCTGAGGCTGGCCAGAGACAGAGGGACAGGCAGCGCAGAAGATTTGCTCGCCTGCCCGCCGGCTGCCTCGACCCACCCAGCCAGAAAGCTGGCCAGCCTGGCCAATTTTTCTTTTTTTCGCCGTCTTCCTCGCCTCCCTCCCTCGACCCTTGGGCTCGGCTTGGGCTGGGTTTGCCTGGCCTCGCGCTTGGACTTTTGAATTCGCCCGCCAGGGTAGGGTGTTGTAATTGCCAGCAGCAGGCTGAATACAGAAGCATCACTCGTGCGGGAAAGATGCTGGCGGGTGGGGCTGCGAAGCTTGCCTGTGGCTGCTGGCGACCTCCGCTTGGACCCAGCCTTGTCCTGCGACCCACCCGCGCTCGATTGGACTGCCCTCGAACGCACACATTGAACTGGCATCGATGCTGCGCAACAAGCTGCTACCAGAAGAGACCTGGGCGATGGCGGCGAGGGTGGCCGGAGCAGCCAAGCCAAGCCAAGCCAGCTCTCCGCCAAGCTGCGCCAGCCCAGGCAGGGTCGTGATCGAGGGCGGGGCGGCCTCGAATACAAAAATGTATTCAAGCCGTGCTGCAGCAAAATCCAAGCGGGTCGAGGTTCAATTCAATCCGAGGCTCGGGCTGGCCTCCGGGCTGGCCGGCGGGGCCTACCTGTAGCGGGCTGGATGGCCTGGCCGGGTACGATCGGCTGGAGCAGGCCCCAGGCGGCTGGCTGGCTGGCCGGCTGGAAGGAAGGTCGAGCATGGCTGGCTGGCTGGCTGGGGCTGCTCCCTGCGGCCCCACCGTTGGTCGCTGCGCTGCGCTGCCAGGCCAGGCCAGGCCAGGTCAGGCCAGTCGCAGGCGGGGGCGTCGGTCCCGTCACGGCCTGATCTGCTCTCGTCGAGAACATCGCCGCTGCCGCCCGTGCTACTCCACACCTCATCCTCATCACCTCATCGAACCCCATCACCGTCTCCTCCTCATTCGCCGCCACACCTCCGTCTGATCCAACATGGCCGCCCGATTCACCCCCCGCTTCCTCCAGGTAAGCCATCGATGCGGCACCCGCACCTCGACCGCCCTGTAGGCCCACCTTCGACCACCTCGACCTCCAATGCCCACCACGGCATCGCCAGTCTCAGCTGCACGTAATCACCAGCATTAGCATTGCAGCCCATCAGAGAAACCCTCTGGTCTCGAACAACGACAGTCATCGGCCATCTGGCAAGACCAGAACCACGTGCCGGCAAAGACGAGGCCGGACCGACCCTTTCGACTGCTCCGACTCCTCCGACCTCTCATGCCAGTGTCAGGCAAGACACAGCCGTTCTGACGCCGTCCGTCCTGCTCGCTCTTGCTACCTCGCCTGCTCCGCTCATCCTCGCAGGCCACCCGTGGCTACGCCACTCAGAGCGTCCGTGCTCCCAAGCAGCTCGAGGGCCTTCCCGGTGCGTCTCGAGACTATCGGCACCGCCAGCGACCTCTTCGCCTCCAGCGCGCTGACCCCTTTGAGCTCGCACTCCCTTCCGCTACCGTGCCGCCTCGGCTTCTCGCCGTGCAGGCAAGTACGCCTCGTCTGCCTACGTCGCCGCGCTCTCCAAGGACGCCAAGACGCTCGAGAAGGTCGAGGCCGACCTCCGTGCCATCAAGTCGGCCCTCGCCTCGGCTGAGGGTGCCAAGCTGCAGACCTTCATCTCCAACCCCACCCTCGGCACCGCCGAGCGAACCAAGGGCCTCGAGCAGCTCCTCTCTAGCGGCAAGGGCAAGGCCGACCAGATCACCCAGTGAGTGGCAGTGCGGCCGTTTGCCGCGTAGCTGGCAGGCTACGCGGGCAAGATTCGGCGGGTCGATGGCGGAAGGATCGGAGGCTAGCGCCATCGAAGGGGTCAATATGGTGCACATCAGCAAGGCCCGCAGGAATCAGGTGTGGCTTTGGCCACGACGTTCGGGACGAGGGTCATATAGGGGGTCTGATTCTTCTGAGGAGTATTCTCCGAGCCCCCAACGTATCTTGCTGACCCCTGCCGGCCGCCGGTCAACTCGCTGTCCTGTCCTCACCCGCACCATCCGACGCAACAGCAACCTCTTCCAGGTCCTTGCCGAGAACGGACGGCTGCAGGACACCGAGAAGGTCATTGACGGCTTCGAGGAGCTCATGACTGCCTACCGCGGCGAGGTCGAGGTTATCGTTACCAGCGCTACTGTGAGTAGCCGTGGCCGTGGTCGTGGTCCAACGCTTCGGCCATCGACGCGGACCGGCTTGGCGCATCTGCTGACACCCGGACCGACGCGCCGATTCATCACACGCTGCCTGTACCCGTCGCGCGACAGCCCCTGGACAAGGCCACCGTCTCGCGCATCGAGTCGTCGCTCAAGGGCTCGCAGATTGCCGCCAACGGCGGCGGCAAGACGCTCAAGATCACCCAGAAGGTCAACCCGGCCATCCAGGGCGGTCTGGTCGTCGACTTTGCCGGCTCGACGGTCGACCTGAGCGTGGCCAGCAAGGTCAACAAGCTCAACCAGCTCCTGTCGCGTGAGTAGGCGCCATGAGCGTTTGGACGCGGTGGTCGTCGCCGCCGCCGCCGCCGCCGCCGCCGAGAGCCCCGTCGACTGACCTGCCTCGTCGTCATTGTACTCCCCTTGTCGACGCCGCCGCCGCCTCGCGATTCGCAGAGGGTGTCTAAGCGCGACCGTTGCCGTCGCCGCCGGCGCTCGCCTCTCGCCTTTGACCGGGGGTCGGACTCGTTCGGCAGCATCTGCACTCTGCCGCACGGGGCAGCTTCCCCTCCACTAGACTCTCTCAGGAAGCGGACCACGCTGGCGAAATGCAGTACACGTGAATCTCGACATTGCACGGGCGGTCGGAGCAAGGGCGCGGCCCGGAGCGACGATCAGAGCCGGGGCTTTGGCAGGGCGGGCTGGATCTGTGCCTGTACGGGGTTGATGAGGCTGCCGAGACCGTTGCTGCCTTTTACGACGGCCAAATCGCCGTCCCTGAGAAAGACGGGCGGCGAACGCTTGAAGCCCTCGCCCGGCGGCGTGCCCCTGGGTGGGTGGGTGGCGTCGGATTGGGCCGGAGACGAGGCAAGGTGCGGATCAGCGGTGGTCTAGAGGGGCCCGGCGACGACAGCAGCTGCGGCTGCTGCGACTCGCTGGAACTCACATGCTGATGAGGCTGCCGGCCTCGAGGGTGGTGCCCTTGCTGAGCTCGCTGACGGTCTCTGCGACCTTCCAGAGCATGTCTGCGGTGTTGCCGTCCTGGAGAAGGTTGCCGTTGAGGTGGAGCTGGAGGTGTACGTTGTCCGGGTTGGAGATGCCGAGGCGGTGGGAGGCGGATACGAGGACGGGGCCAAAGGGGAACCAGGTGTCGAAGCTTTTGCAGAGGCCCCACTGGCTGGCGGCCTTCATCCTGGAGCGGGCGGTGACGTCGTTGGAGAGGGTGTAGCCGAGGACGTGTTGGAGGGCGTTGGCGGGGGAGACGTCCTTGCAGGTGCGCGACACGACGACGACGAGTTCGGCCTCGTAGTCGGACTCGTCTGCCGCGCAGGGCGGGATGACGATGGGGGTCGAGGGCGACGAGATGGTGGTGAGGGGCTTGTAAAAGACGATGGGGATGGGGGTGCGCTTCGAGAGGGCGTCGATGCGGTCCTGGCCCGGCTGGATGAAGTTGGCGCCGAGGCCGCGGATGGTGCGCACCTCGTTGGGCGGCAGCGGGCAGAGGAGCGTCTGCACCGTCAGCACCACGTCGGGCGACAGCGTGGCCGAGGCGGAAAAGGGGGAGCCCACCAGGGGCCGCACGCGGATCGAGGCGCGCTCGTGGTAGGCCTGGCCGACGTCGAGGTCGTCGTCGACCGGCTGGCCGTAGTGCTCCCGTCCGTCTTGGGCGGCAATGAAGCGGATCAGGCGGTGCCACGAGGTTTGCATCATGGTGGCGGGCGGGCGCGGGGGGGTAAGAGGTGGATCGATGGCAGGATGGATTGCGATAGGTGGGCTTCAGCGACAAGCAAGTGGTGTGGGGGCGGGATGGAGCGAGCTACAGCGTAGTGAAGTCGTCTGGTCGAGGCGGTCGGTGCGCAGCCAAACGAGGCGTTGCCCGTGCGGTGTGGGGCCAAAGAGCGGAGAAACGACGAGTCGGACCAAACGGGAAAACCCCATCGACGCCGGCCGTCATACCAACAGCGAGCGGTATCCCCGCATTTCCAAAGGGAGAGCTGAGCGCCCTGCGTCTCCTTCCAGCCCTGGCCTGGCCTGGCCTGGCCTGGCCTGAATTGACCATACACACCCTGCTGCACACGAATGCCACACAGGGCGGGCGGACCATGCTTTCGACAAAGCACCGTAACCCGTACCATATCGCCGAGGGGGATCCACTTGGATGACCGGCCTGCCTGTCGGAGCGTTGCTTGTACAGGTAGCGGGTGGATGACCTTGCTCACCACCCCCGGCTGCCTCCACATATCCGCCGAGGGCGACCCTGACCAGACGTCATCTTCGCCTTTTTGCCTAAGCCAGCCACCTTAAGCCCGACCTCTCGATCCCATTCCCTTGCCCTTGTCATGCCGTACCCTACCCTCTTAGACTCGCCCCCTGCCTGGCCCGATGGAAGCATACACCGACCGGCCGTATGACCGTGCAATCTCAATCCCAGTCCTCCCAACGCCCGCGTATAAGAAGGCTCTTCTCTGCAGAACGACACGCGCGCCACGCCCTCGCACCATGCTCCGTACCGCCCTTCGATCCAGCATCCCGCACCACCGCCTCTCCTCGCCCCCGATCCAGACGCCCCTCCGCGCGCTATCCACCCACGTCACCGCCGCCACCACCACCATGCAGCCGCTCAAGTACTACGGCGCCGGCACGCCCAACGGCCACAAGGTCTCGATCATGCTCGAGGAGCTCAAGGTGCTCAACCCAGACTTCAAGTACGAGACGATCCCCATCGACATTATGAAAAACACCCAGAAGGAGGACTGGTTCCTCCGCATCAACCCCAACGGCCGCATCCCCGCACTCGTCGACCCCAACAACGACGACTTTGCCGTCTTCGAGAGCATGGCCATTCTCCTGTCAGTCGCCTCCGCGCCCGCCCCCGTGAGCCACGCCGGACCACCCCCAGCTGACATTCAGACACTCCCCCCTTCCACCCTTCCGCCCGCGCAGCTACCTCGAGAAGAAGTACGACGACAACCACGCCTTCTCCTGGCCCTCGAGCGACCCCAAGGGCGAAAACTACCGCAGCGAGGTGAGCACCCCGCCCGCCCCAGAAATAATTTAAAAAAAACGCGCCGCCACCGCGCCACCTCCGCGCCTCTTTTCTTCGCCACACTTACACCCAGACCATCAATTCACATCCCCTCTTTCACCACATCACAGGTACTGCAATGGATGAGCTGGCAGATGGCTGGGTTGGGTCCGCTCCAAGGACAAGCTAACCATTTCAGGATGCAGGCCGTCGGAGAGAGCAAGAATCTCGTTCCGTATGCGTACAAGAGGTACCACGACGAGACGGTGCGACTTTACAGCGTCCTTGAATCGCGCCTCGAAGGCAGGGACTGGCTGGTCGGCGATGGAAAGGGCAAGTACACGCTGGCCGACATGCTCACCTTCCCCTGGGCATTCTGGTACCGCTTCGCCGGTCTGCGCAACGACGAGGTCGGACCCAACGTCAAGCGCTGGATCCAGAACAACCTTGACCGCCCTGCCGTCCAGAAGGGCCTCCGCGTCCCCACCGAGTCGGAGCTCGTCAAGAACATGCTCAGCGACGTGAGTACCTGTCATCGACGCTGCCGGTTGAGGGCTTCGGGGGAATGTGAATTGCAACACCGCGCGCGTCGAATCATGGCTAAGCTTTTTTCACCCGCGCTTCTTAATTTGTCCCCTCCCCGACCAACCCTTCAACCATCGCAGCCCGAGTGGATGCCCGAGCTTCCCAGCCTGTAGTCACCAGTGATCACGCAGAGATCTAAATACTTGTACTGTAGTGGGACCGACTGTCAGCCTGGTAGTGTTCGCCTACATCTGTGTCCTTTGCGAGTCCCATCTCAGATCGCCCATGGCGGCGCGGCAAGAACCATACACTCTTCACTTTCGTTTTGGATCGGACCGTTGCTTCGGTGACGGACGGGCGGCAGCATCTTTCGTTTCGAGGCGACGAAGGGAAAGGCAGAGGTAGACGAAGGAATTGTTCGTTATGGACGGCATCCTCGCAGGGGCGGATCAGACGGCTCTCATGTCGGGCGGGGGGCCGGGTCGGGGCTGAGTCGCGCGTTCCCACCGATCCCACCGCCACCGCCACCATCGCCACAGCACACGCATCACCGACCAGCCAGCGCGTACGTCGTTCCCATCTCTGCACTGCCCAACGAAAAATCTCAGCCTCTCGCTATCGTTTGCGCCGCCCCGAGATGGCGACGCCCCGTTCGGCATCGACCCGAAATGGTGGGGCAACGGACGCACAGCCAGGCAGGTGCATGTCTCTTCTCGATCTGCTTTGCGGGCTCACGTACCGCGGCGTTGATGCGGTGGCGCTTTCATTTCGTCGTCGAGGTCGAGGAAGAGGTGCAGATGAGGAGGTCTGGCAAGGGGGTATAAGGCTGGAAGGATGGTGTGGTTCCCTCGCCCCCCCTTCTGTCTCCCTTATCCTGCTCGGTCGGTCGGTCGGTCAGTCTGGTTCCTTCACTCGTTCCCATTCGCATCCTCTACGCTCCTTCACAGCCTCTATCGAGCACACGTACACGCACATACGCTTCCCATCCTCACCGTCGTCCATCCAAGGTGAGCCGTGACGCCACGTCGCATCCTCCCATACATCTCCTTCTCACACCCTCCCCCTCCCCTCTCCCGTCCACGCAGATGCGATCCCTCCTCTCCCTCTCCCTCCTGCTCGCCCTCTCGACCTCGATGCAGGTCCAAGCAAAACACCACGGTTTCAGCAGCAGCCACACGACGTACCACTACCCCTCTTCGCCCGGTTCCGGCTACCCGGCCGTGACCCAATCCAAGGGAGGGATGGGATTGGGCGGCATCTTCGCCGGTTCCCTCGCGGGCGCCGCGGGTGGCACGCTCGGCGTGCTCGCTGTCAAGGATGGGTATAATGCCCTCGTCCACCCGCACCCCTCAGCCGCTGGTGGTGGCGGTGAAAAGAGCGAGGGAGGTGCCGGTGGTGGTGAGAAGAAGGAGGGTGCTGCTACGACCACCAACACCAACGCCAACACCAACAATGGCGAAGCAGCGACGACAAAGGTCGTCTACGTACCCACGATGCCCGGACCCGTCGTCTACTACGTCCAACCCGGTATTGGCAGTGGCGGAGCTGCTGCGCTGCCCCTGGCCTACCCGCAGGCCCAAGTCGCACCGCCAGTTTACAACCCGGCCCCCGTCTACGCTTACGGCCAAGCTCCCGCCGTGCACCCCTACGGCCAGACCTTCCCCGCCTCCCAGGCCCCCGCTCCCATCAGCGGCAGCGGCGGCGGCGCAGCGGGCTACACCGCGCCCGCGTCCGTGCCCGGTCAAGGCGCGCCGCCCAACAACTTTTACAGGCGCGCCCTCGCTCAGCGTGCCGGTGCTGATGTTGTCCATCCTGCCGCCGCTGACGACGACGAGGAGAAGAAGGAGGAGGGCAAGGTAGACGACGAAGTGAAACAGGAGGCGGTCGCGTCGTCGTAGATTCTCGCCCTCGTCCCTCGCCCTCGTCCCTCGCCCTCGTCCCTCGCCCTCGTCCCTCGCCCTCGTCCCTCGCCCTCGTCCTCGTTCCTCGGCCCCCTCCCCCGTCGCCGTTCCTCTACCCCTTCTCTCGATCGTTCGCATCCATCCCGTCCAATTCCCCTTCTCATCTTCTTCCCCATCTTCGTCCCCGTCCCCGTCCTCGTCCTCGTCCTCGTCCTCGTCCTCGTCCTCCCGACCCTTCGCCTTCCACCCACCGTCCGCTCGATGCGACCTCACAAACCGCACCCTCGTTCACCCGTGCCGCCCTCGCGCGATCGGCCATTCACCTCGTCGCTCCCCGACCAGACCACGTCCGTACCGACACCGCATCCTTCGCAACGACACCTTGACACACCACACCACCGGCTGAACTGTTCCAGGCTACTTTGATTCCTCCTGCGCCTAAACCTGCTCAAGAAAGGCGTTGCGTACAGACGGAGGGTGGAACCAGAAATATGGCGCGTGGCGCGTAGCGGGCTGGTCTGGCCAACGCCGCCAAAGCGACGGCTTTTGACGTCCGCTCCGCCATGCGCTTCTTCCGCGTCCGCCCTGTCACTGACCCGTCGGTCCGCCACACGGGATCCGTCCGTTTTCCTTGTCTTCGATCCTGCGACGCTATCGAGGCTGTTCCGCCCCCTGTGCGTCCTCCCCCCCTTCCACCGTCGCGGGTGCAGGTGCCGGGTTGGTGATCTTGCACCGCCCCCAGTTGAACTCCATCGACGTCGACGACGTCTTTTTCTTGCGCCGCGTCCGCAGCCGCCGCTCATCGTCCTCGACGACAACCAGCCGCGTGTGGCCGTCGGGCCCCACCTCGCGGCGCATGTACTCGAGCAGCGCTGACGGCGGAGACGCGCCCTGGCTCTTTGCGACGGTGCGCGTCGGCTTCTTGCTAGTCGCCGTCCTCGGCCGGCGCTGGCGCGGGCGCGCGAGCGCCTCGCCGTCCCGGTCCGAGTTCCACGCTGCCGCCGGTGGCGAGGCGATGCGGATCGGGCGCGGCGCCGGCGAGACGGCACGATGCCACGCAGCGGCTCCGCCTGCACTGTGCGCCTCGTCGGCCGGAGCGTCGCGGTGCGACGCTCCACTGTCGGGGCAGGCTTCCGGCGGACCAGGCCATGCCGATGATGACGACGGCACAGCGCCCTGCGGACCGACGAGGGCGTCGAGCGGGGCGCTGCGCGAACGCCCGTGGCGGCCGTACTCGCCCGGCTCGGAGCGGTAGCCTTCCCTGGCATGGTCGCTGTGCTCGGCATGGGTGGACTCGCCGGCCATGGCGTGAGCCAGCGCCGTCAACGTCTCGTTCCAGTAGCGAGCCGCCACTGCACCGGCACCGCCGCCAAGCACGGGCGAGTGGGTGCCGCTCGCCGGCGTCGTGCCCTCCGAGGTACGGCTGACGTCGCCGAACGCTGCGGGCGGATGGTCAAAATAGTGCTTGAGGTGCGACAGCGCATTATCCTTGGGAGGCGACGTGGCGCCTACCACAGCCGCCGTCGAGCACTGAGCCATGGCCGGCTTGCAGCGCACCTGGCTCGCCGTCGACAGAGCCCGCTGGGCCGACGCCGGCCGCGTCGGAGGGCTCCTCGGCGACAGCGTGCCCGGGCAAAGTAGGCCAACCGAGGACATCGGAGTGCCGTTCCTCGTCGGCGAGACAGCCTGCGTACCTGGTGGCGAGGCGACGCTGGAGCTGTCGCGACGATGCAGCGAAGACCACGCGCGCTGGTAGTCGTCGACGGCCTTACTCGAGGCGTGGCGCATCTGGACAGGTCGCAGCGGCACGCCGTCCGAGGTAAGACCGAGGCTGCTCGCAGCGTGGCCGGCCTCAGTGGCGTCGGCGATGTCGGCAGGCTTGGCGTGCAGGGAGTGGGCCTGCATCCATGAAGGGCCGCGCCAGGTCATGTGCTGTGGGCCTGCAGCCTCGGCGTCGCTCGTGGGCCCGGATGCAGGAGCTCGATCGCGACCGCGGTGGAAGGGCAGCGACAAAGGCGTCGCGCCGCTCGTCGGCCCTGCGGCGCCGGACGGGTTCTGCCAGCTGCAGCGACGCGAGTTGGGCCCACTGCCGAGGTCGGATGCGTAGTGCTGCCCAGGCAGACCGGAGCTCGCAAGATCGTGGGCATCGTTGTGGGTCGATAGCGCCGGGCTGGTGGGGGCGGAGTCCTCAAAGGTGTCCGGCAAGAAGCACATCGGGTGCGAGAAATTGCGGCTGTCCCTCGAGACGAGTGCGGGCCTGGTCCGAGCCAGAGTCTTCGGAGCGGGCGACTTTGAGCGAGACGAGGGGCCTGGAGGATGTGCGGCGCTTCTGTCGCCACGTCGCGGAGATGTCTGCCCCGCCACCGCTGCGGCCGTGTCGTCAGGCAGCCTTGTCCGGTCGGCGGCATCGCCTTGGCTAAGGCTTCGTCGCTTGACCGTCTCAAGGAAGCCAATCTTGGGCATTCGCTGGTTGGCGGCATCGCTGTCGGTGCCCCGATCGCCCGCATCGCCTGCGCTGTTCTGTAGAAGCCACGGGGCTACGGCTGATCTGCCGAGTCCTGTTTCTGGGGCCTTGCCTGCAGTCGGTCGCGACAACGAAGGCTGGTCCGTCTCGCTTGCATCGAGGACTTCTTCCTCTTCGTCTTCTTCTTCGTCGTCGTCGTCAGTCGCGTCCGTCCTCTCCGATGCCGCATCGTCGTCCTCGTCATTTGAGCCAAGATCGGACTCCACGCCTTCTCCGGTGTCGGCGCCGGAGTCCGTGAGCTCATCGTCCTCTTCGTAGTCCTCGCTGTCGTCTTCCTCGTCCTCGCTGTACCCAGAGCTGGAGGCGGACAGCGTCGACGAGGCAATCGAGGACGGGCGAATGCCTTGCTCTGCCGCGTGGGGTGCGGGCGACCGTATCGGCCCTCCGCCCCGAATTCCACTGACCCTCTGTTTGTACGACAGGGCGTTCGGCGCAGGGCTACCCGAAAGCTTGGAGCGGGATGACGGGTCGCGTGCTTGATCACGTTCGGGATGCGGGCAGACGGTGAACGACAGCGAGCGCTTTGTCGAATCTGCGACGGCGCCCGCCGCTTCTTGAGGCGCTTCCTCGGGCAACTTGGCCTCGACGCCGGGCTCTGCATGGCCCAGACGCCCTGGTCGGCTTGGCGCGGGCGACGAGCTCGCCTTGAACTTGCTCAGCGAAGGCCGTGGCCGCGCTAGATCGACGTCATGCCGAGCCTTGCGCTGTGCCAGGATCTCCTGCGGCGACTGTGCAAACGTGAGCTTGAGGGCTTTGTCAACAGCCGCGGCGGGAGCGAGATCGGCCGCCTTGGGCGTCGATGCCGATGTCTGTGCCACGCCAGTCAGAGCGGTTGGCGTTTCTGCCGAGGGCGTCCTCGCTGGCGTCGCGTCGTCTTCGTTGTCATTCCCATCGTCGCCTGAAGCGTAGTCGGCTTCGTTGTCTTCCTCCTCCGTCTCCTTGTCGGCGTGCAACAGGGAGCCGGTCGGGGACGCGGCCAGACTCGTTGGCGGACTGCTGCCACGGGGCACCCAGCTGGAGCGGGTGCTGCAGCTCTCTTCGCCGGCCGAGGAGGTGCTGTGCTGGGAGCCGCGGCGGCGGGAAGCATCCGCCGACGCCGAAGCAGCGGCAGCTGCGGCTTCGCCCGCAGCGCCATGGCCACCGACGCCGTCGGCTC